GGTATGCGTCGAGCAACCTAAGCAAAAATACACAATCCTGTAATTCGAAACAACACAGCGCGGAACAATAATATATGATAATTGCACGTACGTCTACTATTTCTAACGGAACAGTATTGCTGTTGACAGTTCCAGCAATGGTGGTGAGACTGGCTGCGAGAGAGTGGCAAGACCGGAGCACAGCGATGCAAGGTGGAGCTAGGCCAGTAGCATCATCCACCCATCTGGAACGCAAGAATATTATCCTTCTAATGAGTTGTAGATGATGTTCAAATTTCGTCAAAATTAACAAGCGGCGAGTGAAGACAAGATAGATATTAATTCTAAAATGCGGTATAAGTTGGTTGTTAATTTTATCTATGTTCTCATTATTCTGTTATTCTTCATTGCCTACAACTCTCTTCACCTTTCAGCACCTGCCAGCCACTCTTCACTCTCCCATACGTCCAATCCTAAGCCAGTGATGTTCTCTCCCTCGAGCAGATCAGAACTCAGCTCTGCCGAATCCTTCTGGTTCTAAGGGAAAAGAACAAGATAACTGTATTCCTTCCTGTCGGCTTTGCATCCTGAATGACTCTATTATCAAGCTCACATAGTAGCAACGTTGCCTGCGACAGATGACTAGGAGTACCAGAAGCGCGCCAAGGAAGACAGCAGCGAGTGCTCCCAGAGCAACCGCCACCACCGTTTCCATGCCAGTGGCAGTGGACGGTGGTCCAGCACTGCTCATTGATATCGACGAGCTCATGGTAGCCGGACAGGAGTGCACGCTGAATCGCTGGTGGTTACCGAGCGACGATCTGGTGAATCGAAGCGTCGTGATAAACCCCCGAGAAACGACAGCATCAACCGGATTTACATTGACATTTGAGACCAAGTGTCAACAATCACATAGCATCGCGATGCTCCACTCTCCGGTGAGAGACGGTGGGAGGCAGAGACTGTCACGGGTCCTTAAGCTTCATTCACTGTGCGAATCCACAGTTGGCACGAATGGCTTACGTAATTTCGATCGGAGTGGTAACAGGTGGTCGAATCTGAAAAATCGTCAAAAGTGATCTAGATGTAAAGTTATATTTAAGACGTTAATTTCTTTGGTTTTAAAACGAATTTTACTATCAAATGTAGACTTTATTATCTAAAAGTTTGATATTATTTATTGCTAAAGTCACTGTTAGATTATTCATTAAACTTTTCAATTTTTAATTTACATATACACGTATTTTTTCAGGTAAAAGTACAAAAAAAAAACTATGTGGAATATTATTCAGTAATTGGAGCATAATTGGAGCATAATATTTAAAACGATAATTGAAGAACATTTAATTAAGCAAAAATGATCGAAATAGTTGTACGTTTTATTCTTAATTGCAGTATTATAAATGATCTGGCGATTAGCACTAAATTATGATAAGAGCGTTTTCACTCGTCCAAATACGTTCGAGAATCGTCCTGCTCCGAAAGCGCTCAGTCAACCGTTGCACAGCCATTGTACATCTCAGTCATATGTTTTCCATTATCGCGCGATAATTTGCCGCTGTCAGATTTTGTGTCATCGGTAATCGCATACCGAAGTGCGTCATCCGGATACATCTCGCACCCGGAACAGCGTTCTTCGGGTCGAACAATTGCGAATCGCGGCTTTAGTTGACTCACAGCTATCACCGCCTAAATACACGTCTGACCTCGTCATCACGCACGCAACGTAACCTCTTTTATCACGTCGCTCGAGAAATCGTCAGCCTCCTCGTGAAGTTTACGTGACATTATCGTCAACTTCGCAGATAAGCAAGTGAAAGAAACTCGTCGTAGCTGGTGCGACGTGGAGTGTCTCCGTGATGTGCAAATGTCGTGCGATTCGATGGTACTGAGACTAAAGAGATCGATTCGACGACGTTGGAGACTCCGATTTTAACTTGTAAATATACGAACACGAGAGAATCAAAGTTCAATACACTGGGTGGAGAATACACAAGTATAGGAGACTTGTCAGTCTGGAGGTAACGCTATACGATAAGGATGAATAGAAAAACTAACAGTGCGACGAGCAGATTGAAACAGGATTACTTACGTCTTAAAAAAGACCCGGTACCGTACGTCCTCGCAGAACCAGTGCCTTCAAATATATTAGAATGGTAAGTTTTTGGCGATATCCTGTTCAAATGTGTACGCTCTTTAGTTTTCAATACCAGTGATGTAACATAAAGTGATTGCTTTTTGCTTCAGGCACTATGTGGTCATAGGACCGGAACAGACTCCATACGAGGGTGGTTTTTATCATGGAAAGCTCATATTTCCAGGAGAATTTCCATTCCAACCACCCAGCATTTACATGATCACTCCAAACGGCCGATTTAAAGTCAATGCAAGATTGTGTTTATCTATTTCTGACTTCCATCCTGATACATGGAATCCAGCGTGGAGTGTGTCGACTATTCTTACTGGCTTGCTTAGTTTTATGGTAAATTTCCATGTTCATCTCTTTTGTGTCTAATAAAAATATTAAAAATTATATAATTTGACCACATAAGCAGTCAAAATATACAACATTAGGAGTATCAAATTATATATTTTTATGCTTAATCTTGCGTTTACAGATTGAAAAAAGTCCTACACTCGGCAGCATTAACACACCAGATTACGAAAAGAGAAAGCTTGCTGTACAGAGCTTAGAATTTAATCTGAAAAACAAAATGTTTTGTGAACTCTTCCCAGAAACTGTTGAGGTATTATTTTATTATATTATAGAACATCTATACAAACTTGATATCAATCAGTAGTATATTATCGATCGATAGCAGTGATATTGATAGTACAAATATTACTAAATTTAAAATACTGATATGAAACTGAATGTTGCAGACGATCAAAGCTGAACTAGAGCGTCGAAAGGAACTCGAAAAACAAGCGAGGCATCAGTCCACGACGTCCGAGGTCTCTTCGCTGATACGAGATCAGTTTCAGAGAGAACAAAGCCCGTTGCACAGTGCGCTAGCTAATCTTGTCGTTCTAATTGGTTTTGCCGCATTTGCATACACGGTGAAGTACGTGCTGAGGAGCATAGCCACGGAATGAATCGGAATCGAGCTAAATTACGAAGTCGCCACAAGCACAAAATGAGAGAGAGCTGTAACGTGTATAATCACACGTGTAGAATTTTGAAACGACGAGGAGTAAGGAGGAAAAAGATGTAGGCTCCCGCAATACTCGCCTGTTAATAATCTATCTGTCGAATTTGTGCTCAGTTTTACACAGTTCGAGATTTTTGCCAGTAAACAATTTGATAGATTTTTTATATCGAGGTCGATTTTAAGAACACCAGCTGTATTATAATTGCAAATTCTAGCTATCAACGACGAAGAGATAATCATCCTTTTCTCTTTTTCTCTTAATTCGAATAAGACACGTGTGCAAGATAAGGCAACATAAACATAAATTGGCTTCCCGCCTTTTTCATGCCGGACTTGCACTCGTTCAGTTGTTACTAATCAGGGAATAAGAATAGGTTTCTTCTAGGTTTCTTATGGCGGTGCAGCATTCATATCTTCCTTTCACTGAATTTTCCAATGCTTTTAAAATTGATTGTAATTCAGGTATATTCAAAGATATATGCGTATCATAATATGTCTAACTAGTTCTGTTACAGAGTATCTCTCTTGGCTAAAAATGCACAAATTTACTGAACTCTACGACGTGCCAATAAGACTAAAATCGATAGAATGTAGTGAAATTCATAGCCTGGCTTATTTCGTTTATTGAATGAGCATCTTGTAAATATAAGGATGGAGGCGTGATGTGCGTACACACACACACACACACACACACACACCATATATATAATTATATATATATATGATTGATATATATCAATTATATGATATCTTGATATATATATGTATATGTATGTATGTATATATATATGAACATATACATATATTTATATATATACATCAAGAGATGTGTAATAGAGCCTTGACGCCATAAAATCAATTTGGCGAATGTAACTATATTTATATCATCAGTGATTGTCTTGACTTCCTCTTGAAAGAATCTTACAATTGATATTTCTTAGTTACCAATTGAAATGGCTCGTAGAATTATTTCTTCCATTTCAAGCGTCCAGTCTTTCTTCCTTAGCTGACATAAAGAATATGTTTTACTCCATAATTCAGGTATATCTTTATTCTTCCATCATTCATTATTTATGATACAATGATGCTTATCTCAAAAGGGAAAGCATAGTTTTGCGTATATCTTGAAGACGTACTGATAGTAAGTACTATAATTTTCGGAAATACTAAAAGAGTAAAATAAATATGTGATTTTTTATTGATAATTTGTATCAAGGTCTTTTCTGTCAATGAGATGGTTGTTTAATATTACTTTTTATTAGAACCAATGTTATCTGTGGCGATTTATTTCTACGGGGCCCGCAGTTTGCAATTTTATTATTTATATTTCTTCAAGCGATAAGGAAATATATATATATATATATATATATATATATATATATATATATATATATT